ACCAAGCAAAACTGAGACGGGCCATTGAGATGATCAGGTGTTCTCCTTTTGGTACCCTTAGACTTTGAGGTAGATGGTTGAGGCTGAAGGGACTTCTGACATGATGTTGACCCCGGATCCAGAAAGCTGTCCTATCCAGGGGTGGTGTTTTTTTGTGCAGGGGTTCCCATTATCCCACAAGTTGAACTTTGGAAAGGGACCAACGACCGACGCGAAGCCGAAGGTCCGAAGGTCCCGGAACTTGGAATCCATCCAGATCGAAGCCGAGACTTTCGGTTCGACTTCAGCCGCGGCCGAATCGGCGTTTCGATCCGGTGGAACAAAATTCAACTATAGGCACAGTAATGAGTTGGACGGGTCCCGCTGACGGGCGCCAGTGACAAAGCATGCCCAGAAGGGGGGCCAACGGTGTGGAGGGAAACCTGGGCTGTTCAACTTCTTAATCATACCTCGGGTTAGAAAAGGGGTCCCCTTTGTGGTTTGGTCAAGAGCCCAGGTGTGTTCTTTGGATCCCTTTCGGGGCTCTGACAACAGGGGTCCCTATATTTTCTTTTTTTTTTGGTGGTTGTAAACATCACCTTCTTGCCCTAAGCTGAGCTTCCCTTGGGGCCGATGTTTCGAGGGGAAGTACCTCGGGAGTCCATGAGTTGCACATCTCCCGCGTGACAAATGCCCAGAGGGGCCCAATTGGTTGGAGAGAAGGACACCTGGGCGGCTCAAATCCAAGTCATACCCGAGCCACGTGCTCAAAACCCGGGTATATGCAGGGTAGTAAGGGGCAGTCGCAGCCGGAAATGGTTGCGGATATCCGCCTCTCTAATTGTTTACATGGTTCTGGGTTCACCATTTTTGTACCAGGTTTTGATTGTGACTCACCTGGGGTTAGACAAGGGGTCCCCTTTGTGGCTTGGCCAAGAACAAAAAGCAACTATATTTCAAGCAATCGTTGCAAATTTACCAGATCAATCCGCTATTGCTCAACAACAAAATGAATGGATATGTTCAAGTATTGAACATGTGGCCAACAGCGCAGGTGCGTTCTTTGGAGCTACTCCCTTTCGGGGCTCTCACAATCTGACCCCACCTTGTCCTCGCGCCGGAAAGCCATGGGAGCCCTGCCCTGTCCGCCCGAATCGGCGATGGGAACTCGGCCCAAAGCGGCCAAGCAATGTGTTTCGCTGTTTTTTCTTGGCCAGGGTTTCAATACCCGAGACTTAGGGTGTCAATACTCCAGACTTGGGGTTCCAATACTCATGACTTAAGGTGTCAAGACTTCAGACTTAGGGTTTCAATACTCCATACCTAGTGTTTCAATACTCCAGACTCAGGGTTTCAATACTGCAGACTCAGGGTTTCAATACTCCAGACTCAGGGTTTCAATACTGCAGATTTAGGGTTTCAATACCCAAGACTTAGGGTGGAATACTCCAGACTCGGGTTTCAATACTCCAGACTCAGGGTTTCAATACTCCAGCTTTGGGGTTTCAATTCTCCAGACTTAAGGTGTCAATACTCCAAACTTAGGGATTCAATACTCATGACTTAGGGAATCAATACTCCAGACTCAGGGCTTCAGTAGCTCAGATTTGGGGTTTCAATACTCCAGCAATACTCCAGACTTAGGGATTCAATACTCCACACTTTGGGTTTCAATACCCGAGACTTAGGGTGTCAATTCTCCAGACATTGGCTTTCAAGACTTCATACCTAGTGTTTCAATACTGCAGACTCAGGGTTTCAATACTCCAGACTCAGGGTTTTAATACTCATGACTTAAGGTGTCAATACTCCAGACTTAGGGATTCAATACTCATGACTTAGGGATTCAATACTCCAGACTTAGGGTTTTAATACTCCAGACTTAGGGTTTCAATACTCCAGACTTAGGGTTTCAATACTCCAGATTTGGGGTTTCAATACTCCAGACTTAGGGTTTTAATACTCCAGACTTAGGGTTTCAATACTCCAGATTGGGGGTTTTAATACTCGTGACTTTGGGTTTCAATACTGCAGACTTGGGGTTTCAATACTGCAGACTCAGGGTTTCAATACTCCAGACTCAGGGTTTTAATACTCCGGACTTTCGGTTTCAATACTCCTGACTCAGGGTTCAACACTTCAGACTTAGGGTTTCCAAACTCCAGACTTCAAGGCAGTCAACAAGGCATCCTTTGGGATCAGACACCCGAAACCCTGTTCCTGGCGCGAGCAGAAGTTCAGAAGGATCGGCCAATTCGGGCCCCCCACTGGGGTTGGCCTTTGTTTTTCCCAGGCCCCAGACCCTCTACCCAGCGGATTCATTTACCTGGTGTTGTGGGTGACTAAGGGAATCACCCTTTAAAAGCCAAATGCCTTACCTAGTGTTGTAGGTAACAAAGGGAATCACCCTTTAAAAGCCAAAAGGACATTGTTGGACAACTAAGTGGCTGGGATTTATCGGGGTTAGATTGAAGTTTCATTTTCGGCCTGCATTGAATCCAGAGTCCAATCGGCATGGTCCATTGGGGTGGTGCAAACCAACCTCGATCCACTTCCCCCAGAGAAAGCCAACAGCTCCACATCCGGATGGACAGAACATCCCATTTCTCGCACCGGCTGTTAGATGGTGTATAACTCATTTCTTGGAGTTCATTCACAGACCGTCCTGTTCGCCCATCGTTCCGGCTGTTTACAGGGGTCCCCATATTTCCCTTCTGGACGGTTTAAAACAACACCTTTTTGGCCCATGAAAGGTGATGGTCATGGGAATCCCTGTAGGGACATGTAGCGACACTTCCTCAGAAACATGCGGGATTCCTTATCCCTTGGTGAGGGTGATGATTTAAGGGGAAGAACTCGGGAGCCCTGGTTTACCTCGCCCCTGTCCGAGCAATGTGACACGTTTCATCCCTCGACCTCGGCAGATTTGCCTCGAAGCGAAAGAAGCGAGAGAGACCCACCGGGCCACTGGCCGGCGGATGGTGCGAAATCCGCTCAGGCACCGCTTGAAAGCCATGGTTGAAACCATTTTTGTTGGGTATTTGCAGGGGAATCATCAGAAACCAGGGATTCTTTGGTGGTGCAGGATTTCGTCCATCCGCAGTATCTCTGGGGGCAAGGGACGTTTGTTGGATCTGGTCTTGCAACCACCCCCTTCGAGTGCAGTCACAGCTACTAGGGGTCCAAAGTTGTTTCTTGCTTCCAGATACAGCTAAGCAGTTTCTAGAAGCTGATTTTTCGGGACCGGTTCCGCATTTTTCCACTCTCAAGTATGTCAGCATGCAAAACAGTAGACTTCAAGCTGTTGGATAAGCAGCGGCCAGTGGCTTCATTGGAACGCCAAAACTTCTCATCGGTTTTGCCAGATGGCCGCTGCGTTTCAAGACCAAACCTTGAAGGCGCAAACTTTGTGCTGATGGACATCCCTTCAAGTTGCTACTCGAAAGCCTGAGCCATCGGGAGGGCAGGCAATGGACAGGAAGAAGTTACGCATACTTTTCCACCCAACTCGCCCAACGGCCGGCGTTTTTTGCCTCGCGTTTTCTCCCCGGGACTTGGAATTTTTCCCAGGGCTGCCGCCAGCTGGGCTCAAAGGAAGCCAGAAAGACTTAGCTCAGCTTGTGATAAATCTGAATTTCCACTAAGCCTGCGGACATCAGTTACCCTCCTGTCGTTGCCCTGGAACCCGCCAGAGAAATGGTGCCTTCAAAAAGGAAATTCCGGGGCCCGACCAAGTCGCTACGGCAATGGCCGATAGCTGATTGTCAAACATGATGATCAAACAACAATCCCGGTGGATCCCTGTTAACCGTGTAGTGGATTACCAGCCATTTTCCTTTCGGTTTCTAAAGGTGATTCCTTTGGTTCGGGTAATGTATCCACTGAGAATGAGTCTACAATCCTGGTGTCGATTTGGGATGATATTTTGTGCCGCCCACGGCCCAATAAGGGGGTCTTCATTTTGATCACCAGCCCAGAAAGTCGGCGAACACAAGCACATGCTTCGTGCACGAAGGACTGAGGCCGGTTTGAGGTTTTTTTCGGCTTACCCGGATCAACTTGGTGCCACGAGGGGACAACGAAAGTCACTCGTTTGCGAGCTTCATGCGTGCGCTTCCTTGAAGTTAGGAGACGCCTTTTGGACCCTATCGATCAGAAGGTTCTACTCACTCCAAAACGGACTTAAGGAAGACAATTTTCTTGGCAAACAAGTTGAGATGCTTTGTCCAATCCACAGAAGACAGTCCAAGAACTCTCCCTGTGAGGCCAGGGGGGGAGGGGCTTGGGTTTCCTCCCAACGCGCCGGGTCCATGTACGCATGGACCGCGGGCGGCAAGGCTGGGCCGCGAGCGACTCTTGGGAGCGTGGTTTAGTGGTGGAACATGGGGTGCAGTGGCACAAAAAGTCCGCTTTCCCGTTGTACCCCAAGCCAACCCCCCCCCCAAAATGGCCGGTGTTCTATTGGCACACGAGGGGCTCCGTGCTTTGGTTGGAGATGTCTTTTGACCCTTTGAGCGTTTCAACAGGATCAAAGCATCCGACCTCGACAGGCGCCTGGTCGAAACATCCACACGCAGAATCGAGTGCATGCCAGTTTTGATGGTGCTTACCTGGATTGCCCCAAGTATGGATTTGAAGAATCCAAGCAGGTACACAAGGAGCGCACGTGCGAAGCATTAAATTGACATACAATGTGGATGTGCACCGCCTGCGTTTTGTTCAGGGGGGAAGCATTTTTGTTTGCAAACTTGACTTGAGGGCTGGCCAGGATGGACGATTCTCCAAAAACAGGTTACTCACTTCCTGAGTTCCTGGACTCTGGTGGCAACCAACAAGTCTACCTGCAGTCTCCATGCCCCTTTAAAAATAAGTCCATAACCCTATTATTTTGGGTAATGCCCCCATTCTGCAAGGGTCATGGAGACTCCAGTAGACTCTTTTTGGCCAATCCACTCAGCGGCCACCAAAAAGTTTAGACTGTTTTTGGCCAATCCACTCAACTGGTGGGACAAAAGACCTGGGGTAGACTTAAAATACATTTTACATTTTTCCAGTGACTCAAATTGAGGCAAACAATAAAATATACATTCTATAACTGGGCCTTACTGTTTTCCTGGGACGAGCGGCTGCTCAGCCAGGTCTGCGCTGCCTGGCTTTCGCTGCGGCGCTCTGCCTCGCGCCGCCTGGCCAGGAGGGCGGCCGCTCGCTTTGGGGAGGTTTCGCGGGGCAGCGGTGGCATTGTGTTGGTTGGTTCGCCTCCAACATGATGAAGCAGGGTTGTGGAATCAAGGGGTTTATTCCCACTTATATGATAAGGGAATCTCCCCCTTATGGGGCATTAGTCTTTGGGAAGCCCTTTTTGTTGTATCACAGAAGTGGTCATTTCCCACAACCCTGTGATGAAGGGTACACCTAGTACTGTGGATGGAAACCCAAATCGTTTCTGATTTACAGATGGACGAAATCACCCAAAAGAAATCCTGGAATAAGGAATCCCCTTGTAAATGCCAACAATGGTGTCCCATGGTTTCCAGATGGTGCACGATCTCTTCCATCCACAGAATGTTGGTTATTCTGCAAGGGGATGAAAGGGTAAAGTCGTCGAATTAAGGGTTGTCGTCCTCCAAAGGGCTTTTGCATGGGGCAGATCTGATGTGGAGCATTTTGTGAGAAGATGATCTTTGGTGTGCAACAGAGTTGGGCCTTTGGCAGTTTGACCTGGATAGAAATACGCTGCTCCATGTGCCTGTTTTATGGCCAGCTGCCCGGTTCGGAGTTAAATGAGCTCACCATGATGAAGGTCCTTTACTCAAGCAAAGCAATTTGCAAATCCATCCATCCTTTTGGGTTCCGGAAGCTAAAAACGTTACGTGCTCTCTAGCATCCTGAACAGTAAAGAAGCAGTTTGGGACCTGCGATTCCGCTCCCAAGAAGAACCAGTTGAAACAGAAGGCGACACCTGGGCTAGTTTTGTCCAAAGCTTATCGGGAGAAGTTCGCTTTGGATGAAACGTGAAGATGTGGATGCCAAATTGATGTTTCCCTCTAGCACCTTTGAAAGGTTGCAGCTCAAGCCTTTTTGTTGCCGTAAATAGGATCCGACCACTCTTTGGCCCGCTTGTGGGATGTTGGTGTTGTTTGGTGCCGTCTTTGAAAACGGCTCTCTTGTTGTTAACGCCCAAAACAGGTTTGCATTCACCATTTCTGGTGGCTCGGTTCCTAGCTGGGTTCATGTGTGTTGTAAGAAGGGCTTTGCACAGCTTTGTGACCATCTTGCTACCCAGAGTCAAGTTTTACGGGCTGCTCATTCAAAATTAACCTTACTTTGAGTTTGGTGGCATACGTCTATGAATGTTAATAGGGAACCACCTCAAAGCTGGTTGGTTGACATGAATCCGCTCCTAAATGATGTCCACCAAAGGGTCCCCAATTAAAATTCATGCCCATACAGGCAAATATAGGGAGCCTTTTAAGGGGAAGTCCCAAAAAGCTTTTCGCCAGAAGGTGTCACCAGTCCCCGGGCCTACATCTGGAGCACAACAATCGCTCACCTTCAGAGATTTAAGAAACCAGCTGCAGGAGTTTCCTACAAGCGGGTGTGTGCGTGTGTGTGGTTTTGGGGAACACCCCTTTGGTGGATGTTAAAAGGGAAACAACATGTAAACCAAATTTGTTAGAGGCCAGGTGTTGGAGCTTGAAGGGATTGCTGCACCCGTGTACTCCAAACAGGGCGCAAATCATCTTGATTGTTTTGATAGCGGGGCTTTCCAGGGTAAAACCAGTTGAGATGGCTGAGAAAACATATACTATTTGGAGAGTCGGTGACCAACCGCGGGTACAGACAGTCCCGCCGTGCCTTTCTCAGTTTGCAATGTTTTGTGGCTGACGTGCTGAGTTGCTGTGCTTGTCGCTACCTCTTCCAGTTTCGTTTTTGGGGACTTACCATTGTTGCCTGGTTTTCCAAGGATCTGAGCCACAAGCAAGAAACAGGGGTAGGTGAAGGCTGGATTTGGGTCAACCGTTTTAATACCGATCGGTTTTGATTGTGACTCAGATAGTTGCAGCGCCCAAATGCCGCGTGTTTGCCTTGAAGCTTTGGGTTCTGAGCCTCCTGAAACTGAGGTACATCGCCGGGTACCTCCAAGGGGGCGCCCTTTGTCCACAGCTTGCGTGCCGTGGCGCTGAACTTTTTCGGGCGAAAGGCGAGAGCATCTGGCAGGGTGACACCAGCGCATTGCATCCTTTACCTGGATCCAGTTCTTGTTACTGGTGTAATAGTGTTCCAGGTGCAGATTGGGTTCCTGTTTCTGGTGTTGTGTGTACATTTGCAGATTGCGGTCGACCCAACGGAATCCCCTGATGCTCTGCTCGAAAACATGGCCAACTGGGTCCCTTGAAGTGAGCAGTTTGGGTGAATTCGTTTCACCTGGGGCAGCTACCTTCAGCCACCATCGAGCTCGGCTGCCCCGCTGAGCTGGTGGTTCTCCTCTTGGTTTCGATTCAAACCGACCCACGGAGCCTCAAAATGCAATTTGTTTTCCACAAGTTTTTTTTCGGGCCATGCGGGCACATGCCCCCATGTGGGAACATGCCCCCAAGTGACGAAACGGAATGTAGAAGAGTTGGAGCCTCAAACGAGGTTGGTGGACATGAATCCCCACCCCAATCATGTCCACAAAGGGGTGTTTTCCGCACTTAAAATTCAGAAACCCCCACTTGGACCCGGATTCCTGGGGTTGGTGATGATGTCCACGGGTTTTTTCCATTTAACACGTCACTCGGCGTCCATGCGTTTCGCATTTAACAATTTACTCAGATGGCCAACCGAAGTTCTGATCCGAGGACCTGGGCCAGAAGTCCGCAGGCAAATCGGGGAGGGAGCGTGAGCCAGGGCGGCTCCTGTCCTGCAGGTGTGACCCCTTGTTGGGATTGGCTGAGAGAGTAAAACCAACGAAAAAACCACCCTAATATCCCCCCGCGCCCCCACACCAACTTGGGGTCCGACGTCTTATATTTTTAAGGTGGACTGAATATGAAGCATAGTCTGAAAGTATTACTTTTGGTGTGCCCTGCTGTTGGGCCAAGAAACGGATGCTCCTCCAAGCAGGATGGTATTGGAAAGGTCCCTGGCTCGTTTGTGTTGTGTTTGTTCTCTCCCTTTTTCGGGTTTGCCTGTACGTGCCATTCAGAGTGGGCTGCGTTTCCAATGTGAGGACAGGCTTTCAAAGATTTAGTCCCAAAGGTGTGCGAACCCTTTCCTCACTTCCTGAGTTTTTGAACTTTAAACTTTTTGGGAAGATTTTAGTGGTAAATATAAAGTTTTGATTTTTTTTGGGCCATCCACTCAGCCAGTGAGCTTCAGAGAAGCTGAAAGGAAACCACCTGGAGGACGTCCAAGAAGCCATTTGAAGGGGTCCCTAACTTGTGTCGTCCAGCTCAGCTTCCATGGTTTTGTTGCTCGCTTTGGCTGGCCATTTCCATCTGAGAATCCGCTTTGGGTGATATCAGTAGGCTAGAAATCTAGGGACCCTGCACGTTGTTTGTACATTGTCTTTTTCTTTGCCAATCATGGAAGAAGTGGACAAGGGACCTGTTGAGATGATGATAGTCTCGCAAAATCATCCTGTGCACTTCCATGATTGGAGGGAGGTACTCACGTGATGTAACAAAAGTTGATCATTGAATTCCAGCCGTTCCCCTTGGTTTTTGCTTAGTGGCTAAGCTTGGGCCCACTCAAGCGGAACCAACCTCGAAAATCAAAGGTGTTCTTGGCTCGCGAAATCGCCGGCTACATGCCATGGTCAAGCCACCCTGGCATTTGTGGTTCACCAACACCCCATCCATTTGCTGAAACCAATATACTTTTCCCACTTAGTCTTAAAGGGAATGAATAACCGGGCATGAATTTCACCTCATTTTTCCGGGGCCGAAAAAGCGAATGGAAGCCACGCGCGCTTTGGGCGCCGGGCACGCCTTTGACCCCAGGACTTGGCTGAGACCTCGGCGATTCCTCTGGCGAGGGAGGAGGCCTTCGGCCGGGATGCCTTCGGCGGGGTCTCGCTGGCGTGGGCTGGAAAAAACCTGGAGGGGGACTTTGTGCCCTCCAAATGCTCTTTTTTTTTTGTGTGGTTTTGACGGAAAACCCATGTCCTCAGCAAGTGTTGCTGCATGGAGGGGGTGTCTTCTTTTGGAGGGTACCCCTTTTGCTTGGTTGTAAAGGAGAGCCAAAAGGCAAACCCACCATGTTTGGGGGTCCGATTCCTAAGAAAAGACACACACGTGTAGCATTCCAGAAACTCGCAGCTTGTTGGCAGGTGTCTTCTTAGTTTGAGTCAAGGCCCAACAGGTCTGAACAGGTTTACTCTCATCCACGAACATGAATTCCACCACAGGGTCTTCCAGAACCCCCTGCCCCGCCCAGTTCTTATGTTAGCGGATAGGTGATAATATAGGGGTTAAGTTGCTACACACATCATTAGGTTGGTTCAATGGCACCCCCCCGCCTAGTGTTGTATTTGTTGCTCGATGATTGTTGTTTTGTTTTGTGTGTGTGTGTGTGTTTCCGTGTTGTGCATTGTGTCTCTAGAGGTTAGCACCCTCTTTGTATCTATACCGCTTTGTATGGTTTGCCCTCGCATTGCAGCATTCATCCCATCTTGTATCATCAACCCCCCTATGAAAGAACACAGCAGAGATGCACAAAGGAGGGAACCTAAAGGGGAAACCAACCCACGTCCCTCTTCAACGGACTGTAGACTGCTGAAATGTTGACCGAGCATCAAGTATTGGTCCCCACAGAAAGCCCCACAAGCCCGAGCCCAATCCGTTCATCAAAGAATACTGGTCCATGAGCACACAGAGGCATGGTTGACCAACAAGCCAGGGTTTGTATCTGGGTTCATATGTGGGGGTGTTTTGTTTGTTGGTGGAACACGTTTTTGCAGCGTTTTGTACGGGAACCTAAGGGAGCGCACCGATTTTGGGGTTCCCTTTCTTGAACCAAGCCCATTGGACGCCAGGAATCCGTTCAGAGCGATGACGTCGCGCCCGTGGACGATTCGCCAGGCACTGGGAATCGCATCCAATGGAAAGTGAAGCGGTCCCTGGGTCGCTTGTGGTGTTGCCCCCATATTGGTTTGTTAAGATTCCGTTTGTCCCTGGGTGAAACGTGGGGAATCAGACCAGTTGTGGAGAAGAACACCCCCTTTTTAATAAACTGGGGTTGATGAATATGGGGCTCAACATTGAAGAACATAAAGGAGCTGGTCGGATCCGGGACCGGAATCTCAGTCAGGTTCCATAGTTAGTGAACATGCTTTATGGGGGCGTTCAAGATTTCTTTGGGGGCGGAGTCTGCTTGAGTTAGGATTTAGCGGATATTTTTGGAGGATGTCACTTTGTTACCCAGTGTTCATAGATCTTTTTCACAAGATACAAATTGGTCCTTCTGCCAAGCTACTCCAGGCTTCTACAAGCAGGAGGCAATCCATCAAGAAGCCTATCTATCCAAAGAACTCTATGTCTCTCTCTCCCTCTCCCTCTATCTCTTGTTTTTTAGGATCGCTTCTGTGACATGACTTGGTCGTGATTGCAAATAGGCTGACTTCCTGAGTTCATGAACTTTAAGCTTTTTGGGAAGACCATTTTAGTGGTAAATATACAGTTTGGGCTTTTTTTGGGCCCACTCAGCCAGTGAGGAAGGTGAGTCGGTTTCGAGGCCAAGTCCGCGAAGCCGGATCGATCGATTAGGCCAAAGTTTCCCGAGCACCGTCGTCTTTTCAGGGCTACCCCCGAAGGTCCGGCAAGGGAGTAGCAGCCGGGGGGGGTCCTACCCATGTTGGATCGGTTTATCCACTTGGGTGTGTGTGTGTGTGTGTCCAGTGGGCTTTCTTTTTTGGATGGTTCCATGTTTGTTTTTGTGCTTCTTCTTCTTCTTTTTGCGGACACCAAGAGGAAAATCACCATTTTGGGTGGGGGGCGCCCAAAAAGAAACACCCACTTCTTTCAAAAGCCTCCCGTATGTTCCCTATTTGGAGGAAACACTTTCAAGCGGGAACCTGGGGAATGCTTCTTCCACAACCCGCAATCCTCGCCTCAAACATCATCTCAAAGGAGACCCACCCAAATGGGCCGAAAAGGTGATATGTATTGCGCCCAACAAACTGGGAAGCCCTCTAAAGGAGTTGGGTGCGGAAAGGTAAACCAGCCACAACAAGCAGTCCACCTACACGTCACCTGGTGAAAAAGGTAAGAGAAGCCGGAAGTGGCCATGTAATACTGCGTTGTTTTTGCGCATTGCTAGGGTGGGAGAGAATCATGCATCCCGCGCAAGGGGCTTTAGACAACAGTAAAGCGGTTCTTGCGGGAACCATGACAACCCACAGAATTGGACATGGTACGGTGGATCAGGTGGACCCCCTAAGTATTGGAAAGTAGAGAACCCCGCTTGACCACCGAACCATCGTAAAAAAATGGCGGTAGGTGTCCTTGTTCTCTTGCAATTGTTTGGTCATCTGCCGTACCCACTTGTTTACCGTAGCTTACGCCATGTCTTTCGCGTTTTTTCGGTGGTTTACCTGCAGCAGGGTACTGTGGATGGACGAAACCTGCACCACTTGGAACAATCAGCCATTTCATTATTGGTATTTACAAAGGAACCATCATTCCACCGTTTCTTAGGTGGTGCGAAATGGATTTCGCAACCATCCACAGGGTGCATCCGTACACGCGCGGCTGGGGAGACACCGCGCCAGGCACCACGCAGCCCCCGATGCCCATCGATGACAAGCCGATGCGCTCGGGCAAGGGATGCAGCCAGCACGGAGCTCAGTTCCCCGAAAATTTGGTGGTAGTCCTTTTGGATGTCCTGCAAAACCATCAAAAATGGGGTGCCCCCGCGTTTGAAGCCCCCCAAAAAAGACACCCCCAAGTTTGAATCCGTTGGGTTGGTTTGTTTTTGATTGCCATTGGCTGTGGATTCGCTATTTGTACCATAGGTTTGTTTGTGGCTCTTGGCATTGCCCAAGTGCTGACATTCGTCTGTGGATGTTTGTAGACGTTAGCGGTTCATCAGATCTGTTCCAAGTTCGGTGAGCTTTTCGGAGGCACTTGCTCTTCTTTACACCTTTGTGCCTGCCACGTTGGAACCTGACGGACGGGGCATTTTGCGGTGGGTTTCATGGCAAAGTTGCCCAGAAGGTACACCTTTTCTGCGAAATTGTCTAGGTCTCCCAGTAGTGCCCTTTTTCCTTTCTTTTTTTTGGGGAGGGTTCCCCTACTAATATAGAATAGAGAAAAAGGGTACCCTGATTCTAACTTCTCTACTGGAGGACCTAGTTGTTGTTCCCACCACGCGTCCTCTCAGCAAGGCCTCAGGTTGATGACAAGCCGATTGCGGTTTCCTTACATGAGCTGCTTTGTCCAACCACTTCCCGGCAAACGGGTCGACCGAAACAATTTCAGGTACTTAGAGCCATAAATAAAGCCAGTGCAGCCCGGTGACTAGTACCTTTTTGTCTAACGACCAAGGGGCATTCCCACGAATATGGCTTTGGATCAGTGTCGACCCCGGATCTTTCGATCTTTGGGCAGAGCCCGGCCGATAAAAAAGGTGGTGACCCAGAAAAGTGATCCGGATTTGCACTCAACGGGGACACCCCCCAATCAAAATCAACTCCTCGTATCTAGTATCAACCAGGGGTTCTGCAGTGCGAGCGATGTATAATGAATTGGTTGGTCCTCGCCGGTGATTCAGGTGATGAAGGACTCCTTTGCTAAGAAATTCAGGGGCTCAATTTCCTAGCGGCTTCTTGGGTGATGAAGGGCTCCTTTGCTAAAAAAAACATCAGGGGGCTGCGACCTTTTTTGGGTGATGAAGGAGACACCCAGGGGCTGAATTTCTTAGCAGGGGTAGTGTTCCCGGAAGTGTGCGCTGAGAAGCCCCAGAGGCACCTTGATGAGGAGCTTCAGCGGGAACTGGCCCTGCGGCTCATGAAAACGCTGGTGCTTCACGTGACCATGATCGATTCCGTGGACGACCCGATGTTTCAGCCCTTGGGCGAGAAGGAAGCCGTGGCTGCCCAAAGGACTCATCCAAGTACCGCTGGTGCACCAGAGGATCCTGAGCAGAGACTAAGCCGCGGGGGCCGAGGCCTTGCGCCAAGTTGAAGCTTCAGAGGGTTGCTGACAGGCTCCACCTACAGCCCCCTGAGTTATTTGGCGAAAGACAGCTGCAGTTGCAACCTACTTGATCTGGCAATCTCAGCCCCTCAATTTCTTATACGACTATGGTTGTCAAGACCGTTTTGGGATCCCATTCTTTGGGGTAGGTGAATTCACAACCCATTTTAGAACCAATTTTAGTGGTTGGATTGGGATGTTCACTGGGAGTACGTTTTGCCACGGGTTTTGACCCGTGGCCAAAGCAGTGACCACGGGCAAGTCCTCCCATTCAAAATACCCCTCAATGCTAGACTCATGCACTGGTGCGTTTTGCGGCCAGAAAGGCTTTTGACCCGTGGCCGTATCACTGGTAGCCAGTTGGGTCTGCGATTTCTTAGTGGGTACCCCCTTCTTCGGGTTGCTGAAAAAGGGTTCAGACCACAGCCAAAGCAACCCTTTTCTGGGGTTTCTTGCCATCTAGCCGCTATATACAGGGTAAATACCAGCAAGCAGAAAACCTGGCCACCTTTTGAGGGGAACCAAAGAAAGTAGTTGAAACCCTAGGTCTTAGAGGTTGATTTCTTCAGCAGCGCTTGCACCGTACTTCCGGGGTTTGGTTGTTTTCGCTTGGGCTGAGGTACGAAGGCGTCAGCTTCCCGCTGGATGCTCGGAGGCCCAGAGGGATAAGGGGGGGGTCCAGCAATCCTTTAAAGGGTGAGGGGGGTGAGGTCCTCATTTTTGGGATCCAATTTTCTTTTTTTCAGGTGTTGGAACTCGGGAATTTCATCAGATCTGTGGATCTGCTTCCCTGTGAATCACCATGTAGAGCACAACGTCTCAGGATGTCGCGCTTTGGGCCAGGGCTTCACGGATTTTCGGGCTTCTCTGTTGTTGCGAACTGATTGCAACTGGTTTCGTGTTCAGTTGTTTGTACTGGTAAGCGCGTTAGCTGTCCTCGGATTGCAGCAAGCGTGGCATTTCACACAGGTTCGGCCAATGAAGTAGTCTCCGGTCCATGTGAAAGAGACTTGAGGTGACACCAAGTTGCCCGCAAAACATGGGGTTAGGGTGGGGGGGGGCTTGCCAATTATGCCATGTCTTTGGGAAGCGCACTTGTGGCGACTGCGCTTTGCAAAGGTCCCTACCAAAGAGACCTGGGTCTTCCCCAAAAAAGCCTTTCGACCTTGGCTGCTCCTCCTTGAACAAACGCGGAAAGTCAGGAAGGGCCCATTTTTCCCAGGGTCCTTGAAAGACCGAGCAGGCAGAGCGGACTGGATGAAACGAAAGCACAAACACACCGGGAGCTCCTGTGCGCTTCGTTAGGCGGCATGGAATACACGGAGCTGTTTCCAGAGCAGGACGCCCCTCAAGCCGCGTCTTGTGTTGAAGTTGGTGCGTGTTTCGGTTGGCTAAAGGGAAAGCGGGCCCTTGTCGGATGACCTCCCAACTTGGCTATGAATTCTAATATGGACCATCATCAAGAATGCCGTGTGAACTTAAAACGTTTTTGCATCAGGGCCACCATGTCAAATTCACATTCTTTGGGCACCAGGCCCAAACAGGGCACCCTCGAGAAAACAAAGAACAGCGCGCGAACCCATTTTGGAATTCTAACGGCACATCGAAAGGTATGGGCTTTCTATCTGGGTTTCCCTTGAAAGCCAACCGAACAGAGATCCAAACCGCCGGGGGTTTCAACCAGAAGACGGCGCTCAGGGCTGGCCCGAGGAGGTGCGGGCCAAAGAGGGCGTCAGCATCTATGGTGCCCCAGTTCCCGCAGGGGCCGGCGATCGAAGGAAGACCCGGAGACAGCGGAAAGGCGTCGGCCGAAATGTTGGAGCACCCCAAAACTGTGCTTGCAGCCTCCATTGCCCTAAGGGTCATGACCCCTCCAATGCACACCCGGACCCTCCAATGGAGAACCCCGACCAATTCGTCAGGGGCCCTTGAAAAGAACCAGTTTTGAAGGCCCAAAAGCAATCGAGACCCTCAGGGTGATACATTACTTTTTTCCTCAAAATATGTCTGCTCGTGATAACAACGTGTCTGTATCGAACAGGGGGGGAGGCATGCTTTTTTGCTACGATTCAGGCTCCAGGTGCTTAGATTTGATGGTTTGGGGACCACTTCAAAAAAAACCATGAAATCCTGATGCTTGCCCGGATTTGGTTGCCCGTTGCCCGATTTGTTTGCCAAGTGTTTTTCTTGCCCGGATGTTTTCCGGCATGTTTTTTCCGGCAAAAATATTGCCAGAGGACCCCAAAAAAAGACACAGGATCCTGAATTGCGAAAACCAACTTGCTACAATAGAGGCCCAATTCCAATTCGGGGTCTAACATTTAAATCAATCACTCAACAAATGTGTTGCTTGCCCAAATTTGTTTGAACGTTTCGTTTTTTTGGAGGGGATGAGACCCTTCAAAATGTGTTATCTATAGTCAGCTTTATTTGAGGGGAGTTTGGTGTTTGAAATCAACTACCCCCAAACAAGTGTTTCGCTTTTAATGTGTTTGAGGGGATTTGCCCTTCAACTCAACTTATAAGAAAGAAGGTGGCTGTTCGTATGAGACCGCAACGGGCAAGGCCCATTCAGGCGGTTCATATCAGCTACTCATGTTCCACCCCTTTTTCAAAGGCCCTCGGGATAGTTTGTGGAGAGGGCTCAACTCACTGATTTACGGATTACAGTCAGCGTTGGTAGAACTGCACAGATTCGAATGAGCTCACCCGGGGAGTAAGCAAGCCCACCCCTGTTGAAGGTTCTTACTACTAGGTGCGTGGTATCTCTTCTTTTCAGATGGTAGTAATTTGCGTTACCAGGGGCTTGCTCGATTGATGTCTTGTGCCAATTGGTTACCCATTGAAACTTCAAGGCTCACGATTTGCGTCACTGCGATGCTGGGTGCGTCATTTTGGAAGACACCCCTTTGGGGTTAGCTGCCAGGAACAGTCAATATAGGTTTGTCTCCACATGGGGAAGTCACCGAAGTGGCTAAATTCGCTTTCAAAGTCCCTTTGACATACCTTTGAAAGCAACTTCACGTTTTAATGTCCACTAAACGTGGAGCAGGTCAGGCCTGATTTAGGCCTCCTTGCTGGGAAACAAAGGGAAGCTCTGGAGGGTGGGTTAGGTGCAAGACCCTTTCAAAGGGCGGCATTTTTTCCGTGTTTACCCTTGACTTTGTGGGCAATTTTCTAGTTCAGATCCGATTTTTGGTGCAGCCTCTTGCTGGTCACTTCCTTCGTTCCGTTTGCATAGGGCTCGTGCGCGAATCGCTTCGCTTCGCGCTCTCTTGCGCCAGGTACTGGCTGGGCGCAGCGACGGCTCAGGCCTCCCTGAAACCAGGGCCACCCAGGGAGTTTACTTCCACAAAGAAACGTTTCCCAAAAAGGAACCCCTGTCCCCTACCACACAGCTCCAAAATGCGACAAGGTGTGCGATTTTGCGGGGAGTTTTTGTCCTGGATTGCCATCACTATACCATTCTTCACCAAAGCTCTTTTGAAGGGATCTGAATTTGGTCAAGTGTTTTGCGAGTTTGGTTTTTGTTGTTTTCCCTCGGGGGCTGGGACATATTTGAAATTGGTGTTACTTCCGTGCAACAGTCGAGAAAGTTGTTTCAGCAACTCGATCCCAAAGTTCCAGCTGGCTGGCTTTCGTAAAGGTTGACGGGGTCCCACCAAATTCACCCTGACTCCTCCCGCTATTTTGGGTTTACATAAACAAGGGGATTTGGGGGGCTGGATTTGGGGGAACCCATTTAAAGCAGAAATGTGGCCATGAAAATGTGGCCATGAAAATGTGGCCATGAAAATGTGGCCATGAAAATGTGGCCATGAAAATCGCAAATGCATTTTAAAGGAGAAACATAGAGCTTCCTTATTTGTCCGCTGCTCTGAAGAATGAGGGCCAAGAGCAGTTTGTCCGAAGTTAACTCATTAAGTCATGCCAGGTCTTTGTTCTCATCATTTATCGCAAAAAACACCGGGTGCTTCAGCATCCATCATGCTTCCCCCCATTCTCCTGTTGGTTTTCCCTTCAACATGAAGTAGCCAAAAAATGAGCAGGTGTTTTTTTTTGACCTTGAACAAGAGTCATACTTCCTCTTTGGGGGACAGGCTAGGCTGAATCAAACTCCAGGTTCTTTCTGAAGCTGGATTCTCAACCACCTCCAAAACCTGAGCCTCTGAGTTTGATGGTTTCCAGGTTGTTTTCCTTCAATCCACCACAGAAAGAGCAGCTTTTGACACCTCTAAAAATCCTGGGGCCCGAAAGCTTGCACCTGGCCCGGTGCGCCACGTGTTTGGTTTTTTTTGCAGTCGTTGGTCTGTGCTGCTGGACACCGAGCCCTCCGTTGATCCCGGCGCGAGGGAGCACCAGTTCCCCGGCAGCTGCGCCGGCAAGAGCTTCGTGGAGCACGGGATGCCGGGGAGCCCGCTGGCTGAAAGCTGTCCGCTGTCCGGCAATGCGGGTGGTGTGGGGAAACCCCAAAAGGGGGACGGGCCCCTGGGGTTGTTTAGACCTTAACTTTTGGGAAATCAATAAGCAACCATGGGTTGCCGTAGTTCTTTAGACCTTAACCTTTGGGAAATCGAGAGGAAACCATTGACCCACCGAAAGTGAAACTTCTTGCAGAAGGCTTGGGTTAACAGCAACCAAGGTGCCGTGTGCAAGGCGCCGCCAATTCATTTTCTGATTTTGGGTCGACTCCTTAGCCTCGATGTCCGGATTCCAACCCTCAGGAAGGTGCCTGGTCTGCTTTTTGTTTCGCCTCAAAGCGACCCCCGGCCGGCCGGGCGGATTCCCTCAAAGGGGCGAGCCATGACGAGAGATTCGACTCTGCTGGACTGGGTAAGGGAAGGCACCTGTTGGGTAGGAAATGGGAAGGGGACATGTCGTTGGCTTTCCAGGGACCAATGAGCTACTGGCCCCTCACTACACCCACATATTACTTGGTTGGTGTGGATTGGTGTGGAATTTTAACATCCTTCACTTCTTGCGGGCCAAATTGGAATCCACTCTGATTGGTGGTGTTGAATGTCAATACCCCCCGGTTCTTGTGGTTCAATGGCACTCCGCCCGTTCACCTCGAGGCAAGATGGCATGACTCGAATCAGAGCCGCCCCGAGGTTCCGCTCGGGCATCGGCTCCAACTTCCACATCTCAGCGGCCGGGAGGTTTTCGGGGAGAAGCGGCCGGCCTGAAGCAGCCGCAACATTGCGGATGTTTACCCCAGGTGAAGAACCCCCTGGTTGATGACTAGGGGCGTGCTTTTGTTGTGGTGGTGGGGGGTTCATCACTTTTGGAGGGCAACACCGGTTTAGGAATCCGAGGTTTCCATTACATCTTGGCTCTAGACTGTGAGGAACCAAGCGCGCAGAGCTGAAATCGAGGTGTTAGGTTGAGTCTTTGGACCTTGGTTCCATGTAGCTATGTTTCTGGGGTTGAATGTTGACTAGGTCCCCCAGTGGTGCCCTTTTACCTTTTTTTGGTTGGGAGGGTTCCCCTACTAAAATAGACTAGAGAAAAAAGTTGGTACCCTTATTCTAGCCTCTCCACTGGAGGCCCCACTTGAAAGCAAACTTGTTCTGACACCGGGCCCAGCGCTTCAGTGGATTCCACCCCTCTAAATCCGGTTGAGTATGTATCAACATAGAGACGCCCCCCCGCAAATCCGCGGCGTTCCTTCCAGTTGCCCTTTTCAACCCCAACAAGGGTACCCTCGAATACCTGGTTACCTATAGTATTAACTGGAAGCACTGGGTTTGCTTCAGCGAAATATGGTTTTTCCCGTCTTTTTTTTTTCCGCGGGGATCTACATTTCACTGGATGCTATTTGATAAAACACACACTTGCATGTACACCTTTGAGCGCCTTGGCCCTGAACGAACCTTCATATCCTTCGGCTCAGAAGTTCGCCCGCTCGTTCTGTCCAGTTAAACCAGTGGTGCCTTCTCCTGCTTTTTCTTGCTGGTTCGACAGGGAATGAGAAATGGAATGACCCCGAAAAACATCCATCCCCGATTTGGTTTCCTTTAGGGGAATGCCCTTCCGGTTCATCCCGGGTCATTCCCTACTGATCACCTGCAAGTTTTTGGAGGGTCCCGTCGTGCCGTCTTTTGGAATTTTTGGGGGGAGTCTGCCCCCTTGAAAGGAGTTTCCGCATTTCCAGCGGTGCCTTGTCTCCTTTTAGAAAAAGAGTCTCTCCCTTGGCCAGAGGTGGGTGTCACCTGGCACCCATTTCTGCTTCGGCTTGTGAATCTCAGGGACGTGGCTGGACAACTTTGGTGCCTGAAGCAAATGGACGGCATCAAAAGGGAACCAAGATGAAGCCTGGCATTCAGGGAGCTGATGGCTTTGAACACAGTGCGTTTTTGTAGTTGGAACCAGTGTTGGGTTGGTCTCAAAGGGAAAGTTGCAAGGAAAACCACTATTTTGAGTCCATCTTATTAGTTCGGGGTCCCCCTTTTGTGGTACACGCCCACATGTTCCGATTTAAAGGCCAAACCACTTGGAGAATTGAAGTGAAGTGCAACCCCTTTTTTCCGCAGGCGGTGCTGGCGATGGCGTTGAACGAGGGTAGCATCTACTTGTGGCCGGAGGCCGAGTTGGGAAGTTTTGGAAGACTGAAGCACATAGTTAATGTGCAACCTGTGGACACCATTGCTCATCAAATGCGCGACCTGCTTTTGAACTGAGCGTTCCCTTTGGGTGAGTTCCACTGGATTTGGTTTAGCATGGTCCCTTGAAGGATACGTTTGGGCCAGCAAACAAATCACCTTTACCCGCTGATTTGGAAGATCCCCTTGGTACAGCGCGCGGTTGTTTCTGCGGAACCCTGTCTAACGTCCGCAAAGTGACGTGCTCAAAATTTATGTACAGGGCGTTCCCACCCCCCGCAAGCAAAACTTTCTGGTGAGATAGGCAGGGAATGAGAAATGGAATGAACCCAGGCTTTGGGGCCCCTTTAAAGGAAGCCACCAGCGGGATGGTTCTTCTTGACGGGTCATTCGATTTCTCATTCCCTGCATCTCTCGCAGCAGCAAGAAAACGTCCTTGTTCCTGGCAAGTGCATTGTTTGGCTTTTTTCCCGTATGTGGGTTCATGTTTTTGGGGGGAGCTGCAAAAAAAGGGAGGAGTTTTTTGTTTTTCTGCTATCATGCCGCGGTTTGGTTGGGGGGGATGGCTTCTAGTTTCCCTCTTGGCGATCAAGAGTAGCTACGGGTCATTCCATTTCTCATTCCCCGCATCTCTCGCAGCAGCAAGAAAACTACCCTGTTCTTGGCAAGTGCATGTTTTGGTTTTTTCCCCGTGTTTTGGTTCATGTTTGTTTGGGGGGCTGCAAAAAAGGAGAGGAGTTTTTTTTCTGCTATCATGCCGCGGTTTGGTTGGGGGGGATGGCTTCTAGTTTCCCTCTCGGCGATCAAGAGTAGCTACGGGTCATTCCATTTCTCATTCCCCGCATCTCTCGCAGCAGCAAGAAAACTTCCCTGTTCTTGGCAAGTGTTTTGTGGTTTTTTGTTTTTGTTTCTGTTCATTTCTGCTGGGGGGCTGCAACAGTATAATTTTTTGCTACCATACCAAGAGCAGAGATGAAACGCATCCAGGACGACACGGAGAACCCCTGGACCCACGGCGACAAGAAGAGCCTGGTGGACTGCCCTGGAGGAAAAGCGGTGAGCAGCTACCAGCGCCTCAAGCGACGCTTAGTGGGTCGCTTCGCTTTTCTGAGCCCATTTGTTTAGTCGAGGGGGGAATCCCTCAAACCAAAAGATGGTTTAGTTGAGGCGGGAAACCACACCCGGCGGCCGCTTGGCTTCTTTGTCCACTGGTTGAGTCGAGGGGAGAAAACCCTCACCAAAAAGGCTTTCCGCTGCACTCCTTACAGAAGAATTCAAAGAGCCCTGCCTGAAAGCCCCAGTGGTCATCGGCGCTTGCCTCTTACGACAGCTCGGGGCTTTTCATGCAATGTGTCCAGCTGCGGTGACTTCCCCTTCCTTTTGCTTAAGTTTTTGTTTCCTTGTTGGTTTTAAAGGGAATCTATCACTAATGGAAGTGCCTGGACAGGGCACTGCAAATGAGCCGTAAAACCATGGCAAGTTACTGAGTTTCTCTTGGGACCTACGTGCCATGCTGAGGAAATCTACTCTATAAACCCCTATTTGATGCCTTGGAAAGGAGCACAATACTCACTCGCACGCAAGAGCCTCGTACTGCTGACACATTCCGCATAGTGTCCCTTGTGCTCAAAATTTAGGGGCCCCACAAGTATTGGTTTTTTTGCCATCACATGTTTGGCGCTTCCCTGAGTTTGGTTGATGTTTCAAGGGGAGCACATCACATATGAGGAACCCTGAAATTCCGTTCTGTGCCGTTTCGTGCTCTTCATCTATGCCGGCCGCCGAGGATTGACGTACATATCCCACCACAATCGCATGCCTTACAGATTGTTCTCCTGAAGGGAAAAGGCCGTACTATCCTTGGCCGCCGCAGTTGGATGTGAGCGAAGCTCAGCTTGCAGTCGAGACACTGAAGGATCGCTTCCAAGAGGCCAACAAGGGCAGTTCCTTGATATGGGGATACCGAGACCTGCATGAAGGCCAACAATGAGCACCCCAAAGAGGATTCCTGCATCTTTTGTGGCTCCATTGGTTTTCGAAGGGGAGGCTTTTAAATTGCTCGAATTTCCGACCTTCGTTTCATGTCAAATGAGCCTGGCTGTTGCATTGCCATGGCAGTGTCTTACAAATTGCTAGCATCTTCGCTGAAAGTGCTTGTTTCATGACAACAGCAGCAATGGCTTCGGATAAGTTGTGCTCCAAGCATTCCGGGCCTAGATGGCGGGGTTTTATGCCCCAGGAAAACCCATCGATTTTCACAAGCCCACCTGTCCAGCCCATCTATTATTCTTGAAACAAGCAACCTGTGAGACCCAAGTTAAAGGTTGAAGAACCTGCTGTATCACGGCTGAGTTGGCAACTGAGCATTTCGAAGCCATGTGAGTTTTCGGCCGTGTGGTCCACCCTCGTTTTCTATGGACAGATTTCCAGCTTTGAGTTTTCGGGGCTCCGAGGATCGATTTTCGATCTCAGGTGCTACCTGAAGCCTCCGAGCAGCTGCAAAGGCAGCGGAGGCTCAAGGCATCCCCCGACCGCTTGACGTGCCTTCGTGGCTCCCAGGCATACCTAGGTCCCCCAGCTAGGTGCCCGTTTACCGTTCCTTTTTTGGGGAAGGGTTTCCCCACTAAAATAGACTACGGAAAAAAAGGGTAGTACCCTTATTCTAGCCTCTCTACTGGAGGAACTAGAATGCCCTCTTGCTGGTTCGATCGGGGAATAAGAAATGGAATGACCCCCAGTGTGGTTTCCTTTACATGTGAGGATCATTCCCAAAATCCTGGCTCATTCCCTACTGAGTTTACTTCCACTTGCTGAAATGAATATGGTTGCTATTTTCCCCTGTTGGTCTCAAAGGGAATCGATTTCACTATTGGTGTTATCATTCTGTTCCGGGGGGGGTCAAGCAAGTGGAAGATAACCTTGGAGACTTTTGGACATATGCCACTTTCGCTTTACTTTTACTTTTGCAAGGGATCGACGAACCATTGAGTTGTATTTGGTTTTCAGAGGTGCGTTCGCAACGTTTCTTTGGTTTGTTTGTGTTGGTGTTGTTCTTTTTGTTTTTTAGTTCTGTTCATGTTTAGTAGGGGGCTGCAAAAAAAAAGAAGAAGTCAGTTTTGTGCAATCAGACCAAGGGTTGTGAAGGTTTGTCTGCTTTGTTTGCTGACTTGCGCGTCCCGATGTATGCTTAAGCAGTCACTGGGCCACACTCCCATTCGTACTGTTCTTTTTTGTTGTTGTTTGCTGTTGACATCGTACATCCTTTGCCAGTTGTGTACGGTGTCCTGTCACTTCTAAAGCCTTGCAGGGACACAAGATTCCTGCGCAGTTTCGTTGGCCTTCGTTGGCCAGTTGCCCCAGAACAGATCATCATCATCAACATCATCAACATCATCATCATCATCATCATCATCATCATCATCATCATCATCATCATCATCATCATCATCACAAACTTGGAGAATTGAGGAAGGCACGCTTCAATGGCAGATGCCTCCCCACGGTTACATTGGATATGCATGGGGTTGAGATCTTGAGGCATTTTTTCTTGGTTGCCGTGGACTCAGAAGGTCCTTCTGCCCTTTTGTAAGATGAAACTCGTCCAGACCCAGTCTGCCATTGGGCCCAGGGAAACCAAAAGGAGCGCCGGCCACTTTTTGTTGGGGGGGGGGGGGGGGGGGGGAAGGGAGGGGGGTTCCACAAACACCAAAGAGGAAGGCCGCGATTTTTGGGTCCCGATTCCCCCATTTTGTTATATACCGCTTCGCGCACGTACCCGAATGCTACCTGGCAGGTTCACGGGGGTGAAGCGAGAGCGGGGGAAGCTTGAGCTCAAAAGCCGGGGGCCGAGGGAAACGGGAAAGTTTCGCAATCCCCAGCCCTACTGTGGATGGACGACATCCTCTTAGGCACCACGGTTCAGAAACCCTGGCTTCTGATGATTCACCTGTAAATACCAACAAACAGTGGTTTCTTCCATGGTTTCAAAGTGGTGCAGGATTTCTTCCATCCACATATAAGAGAGTTGCGGGAAGGGATCTGTTCCCACCAGCGAACCTCCCCTTGTAATTAAGAGCTTCTTCGAGGCCTTCAGTGGTATTGTGCGCATTTGCGAAGTTTCGTGCAAGTTTGGTGATTCGTCAAGTTTATATGCTGCTGGGCCAAACACTCTTAATTCCAGGCGAATTCTTTGGAGTGTTTTCCCCTGGAGATGATCAGGTTGCATCTCAAGATCAAGAACGCTTCCGTTCAATGATTGAGTTGCCCGGTGATTTGAAGCCTGTAGCTGTCCAACAGTTTCCGAGAAGTGTCCGGGCAGGATGTTGCCTCAGATCTGAAAAAAACTCCAGCTACCTCGGTTACCCTCAGCCACAAATCGACCGGCCTGGCCAAGTCTTTGAGTTTCGTCGCCAGATAGAAGTGGGAACAGAAGGGAGGCAGTCTGGTCAACTGCTGTCTGACCTGTTGAGATGAAGTTGTCCAATCCTTTGGGATACTCGGCTGGATCTCCATTACCCTAAGCGTCATGACCCCTCCAATGCACACCCCCGGACCTTCCGATGGAGAACCCCGACCAATTCCTCAGGGGCCCTTGAAAAGAACCAGTTTGGGCCCAAAAAGAATCGAGACCCGGGTACAGCAATAAACCGATCGCGCAAATCGCTGCTCTGGATGCTCGATCTCATTGGCGCCAGAAGTTGAGTTCCCCGAAGATGCGTTCCGCGGGAACCCCAATTGGCGACGGGAATTCCAGGGAGCACCTTGAAACATGGAGTGGCCAGGAGTCCCCAAAGTGGGTGTGTCTTAAGATAGCGGACCTCTAAAGTTGCTGTTTTTCTTTAGTTTCCCTTCAACACCACCCAAAAGGGTCCACCTACAAAAGACACACCCATGGACATGAATTCCACAGGCTCCCCAAATGTCCCCAATTAATCTCCGAATTAATGTCCCTCTCTGTTTGGTTGCTTGCTGCCAGTGTTTTTGAACAATCGACGGGGCAGGCGGCTAGCCACGTGGGTCAATCTTCGACCCCCTTTCTGGTTTTCAAAGAATCCAACACGGAACCTGGCAAGTTGAGGGGTCAAAACCATCCATGTTTCTCGCTGGGGGCCAAAGCCCCACTGCCCGTTCAAACAGCCTCAAAAACGAAAACCTGCCATGTGGGCACGTGCCCTTTGTGTTGTTTGGGTCTTGCGCAAAATTAGAGGTGTGTGTGTGTGGGTGATGTTCCCGTCTCTCCCCTTACATGACCCAAAACGGGCCACCCGGGCTACCCAAGACATCCACCCCTGTCTTCCAGGGCACCAAGGCGAGGCACGCAAGGCACGCCTCGCAAAACCGAGGCACAGAGCTGATCCCCAGGATGTTCAAAGAGCTCCTGAAGTGTTCCGGGTGCTCCTCCAGCGAGTCAAAGGTCAGGGGTCAAAGTCAAAGTCATACTGTGGGTGGACGAAATCCTCTTAGGCACCACGGTTCAGAAACCCTGGTTTCTGATGATTCGCCTGTAAATACCAACAAGCAATGGTTTCCCATGCCATGGTTTCCAAGTGGTGCAGGATTTCTTCCATCCACAGTAGGTGTCCTGTTTAGGTGAGCCTGGTTAAAACTAGATGGGGTCCACTGGTTTAGATGGGTCTTGTTCCATGTACCAGGGCCATCTATTTGTCCAAAAGGCCACCTATGGTCGAAGTCGGAGTTTCTGGCAGCCTCACAAAGGTCAGAAGGGGGGCAGACAAAGATGGGTGCACCGCTACTGGAATGAGGCCATGTGGGTACTCACTGGAGCATGTCTCTTTTTTGTACCTGGCGCGGTTCGTTCCCGCTCACCGATGGTCTGTCCAGGTACCATTCCAGGTACTGGGTCAAATGGTGGCGTGCACAGGCGCCTGCGTGCCTGTTCGCCCGTGTGCCTGAGGATTTGGATGTGGATGTGACTGAGAGAAAAACTTCACTGTAGTTGGCGAGCTTGTTGTTGCGGTTCTGTTCGTTTTTAGTAAGCAGCTGCAATATCCAAAGCTTGTTGTTGCCATACCCAGGGTTGTAAAGTAAAGCCTGCGAAATCCGTTGTAGGGATCGGATCTCAGATTGGGCGATTCCCACCCTAGACTTTGAGGACGTTTAGAGATGTCTACATTGAGTGGCAAAAGGCCAATGGACAAATCATGACGCTTTTGGCCGTCAAGAGCCCGTGCCATTCAGGAGGCAGAGATAGATCAAGGGGGAAGGACCCCAACAGTTTCGGAGTGGTTCTTGAGTGTGCTGTGTGTGTGTGTGTGCGTGTCTTTGTGTGGGTGTTTGTGTGTGTGTGTGTGTGTGAGTGTGTGTGTGTGAGTGTCTGTGTGAGTGTCTGTGTGTCTGTGTGTCTGTGTGTCTGTGTGTTTGTGTGTGTGTGTGTCTGTCTCTGTCTCTGTCTGTGTCTATGTCTGTGTCTGTGTCTGTGTGTCTGTGTGTGTGTCTGTGCGTCTTTGTGTGTGTGTGTGTGTGTCTGTGTGTCGTTGTGTCTGTGTGTCTGTGTGTCTGTGTGTCTGTGTGTGTGTGTGTCTGTGCGTCTTTGTATGTGTGTCTGTGTGTCGCTGTGTCTGTGTGTCTGTGTGTCTGTGTGTGTGTGTCTGTGCGTCTTTGTATGGGTGTCTGTGTGTCGTTGTGTCTGTGTGTCTGTGTGTCTGTGTGTCTGTGTGTCTGTGTGTCTGTGTGTCTGTGTCTGTGTGTGTATTTGTCTGTGTGTGTGTGTGTCTGTCTGGGTGTGCGTGTCTGTGTGTGTGTGTGTCTGTGTCTGTGTCTGTGCATCTTTGTGTATGTTTGAAAGTGTCTGTGTGTGTGTGTGTCTCTGTGTGTTTGTGTCTTTGCGTGCCTGTGTGTAGATTCTTCCCCAATCATTTCCCCACCTTCCTTCCTCCAAATCACATTCCCCAAACTTCGCTACTCAGGAGAGTCAATTAGCGGCTAATTGACTCCCAAAACTTTGATTCCCAAAAAGTCGATTCCTCAATTTGAATATCAGGTCACCCAAGAGGAGCTTAAAATTTTGTCCCCCCCTTTCCCTTCCCACCTGTCCTCCACCTCTCCTCCACCTTCCCCCCCCCCGGCTCCCCGCCCATTTGAGCCACAGCAGGCGGTGGCCTTCCTGCTGCGACCCTCGGACGCCACCAGAGAGGAGCTGGCGGCCTTCCGGCGCCAGAGCTTGGTGGGCACCATGCAGGCGAGCCGAAAATCGAACGAATCAGATCCATTGGGGATTGGACGATTCGGCCCGAAACCTGCGGCTGGCTTAGGACGTGACGAGTTGCCTGGGAAGCAGCCGGTTCTTTGGTTGTTTTTGGTGGCTGGCTGTTTACACGAGAGGAAAAGTTGCTTGGTTAGGACCAGCCAAAAGGAGAACCGACATCCATTGTGTTGTTGTGTTTTGCTTTGCTGCTGTTGATTGTTCTTGTTTTCTTTCTTTTTTTCGGGGGGGGAAGGAATTTGAGACATTGCCAAAAGGAGGGAGCTGGTGGTTCTTCGGCCTGGCGCAAACTTTGGGGGAGGGGGGGGGGTCATGTTTATGAGAATGTCACTAAGAATGGCTCTCACATGCGTTTGGCCGTGAAGCGAAGAGTCCGGCGGTTGATTTCTTGGCTGGTCTTTGGTGTGACTGAATTGCCCTGGGGAGCCCTTTTGGAAAGAGTTGGTTTTCGGTTGACCCCAGATAAGGTTAAACCTGTTGCACAGGGGCGAAGGACAACCCAGTCAGTAGGAGGCTCGGTTCCAACCTGGTTTCACAAGGCCAGTTAGGCATTTCAACAGTAAATGGGTTTTCGTCGCTCGAGTCTTTGACGCCGTTCTGAACATACCCTGAGAACCGTTAGGTGTTTCCTAAATTATCGAAACAATGCAATTTCCTTAACTCGGCCGGGTATGAATTTTAATTGGTGGCCATTTGGTGAACACAATTGATATGGATATTTATGTCCGCCAAGCATTTTGGTGGGTGTTCCCCGCTAAGAAACTCAAGGTTGACATTCTCGTAGGGGTGTGGGGAGCGTTACGGAACATCCCATGGCCCCCACGAGCAAAGGGGCTTCCCAGGACCGAGATGGACATCAAAACGACTCCTGCCCTGAAGGTTCCAGCGCCTCAAAGGAGTTGTCCTCTCTTGCTTTCAAGGTTCCAAGTACATGACTCCTCTCATCAGCCCAGAGAAAAATTCAAGCAACATGGATCTCGGTTCGTCGAGATCGGCATGAAGCACATGGTCAAAGCACTTTGACCCTTGGGAACACCCTCCAACATGGTGGGTGGACATACCCCCATGTAAATGGTGCTCACCGAAAGGTCTCCAAGTGAAGCTAATTAATTCCAATTTGCCCTTCCGAGTGAACCAATCGAAAACGCACATTTGCCTGTGCAGCCTGTCCTTCAGGCTGGTGTTCTTGGCAGCTATGTCCGCCACGGCGACAAGTACTACGAGGCTGGCCACTGGTTTCATGGCGGTGGTGGTCAAAACCGTTTTGGGATCCCATTTTGGGGTAGGTGCACCACCCAAATTAGTCTATTTGGGGATTGGGATGTTCACTCGAAGTGCGGAATTTTGACCCATGGCCACATGTTGTTCAGCTGCACCCTCTAAATATGCTCAGTTTGTGTGGCTCAGGCTGAAACAACAGATAGCAGCATGATTGGCCGCCGAGATCCATTGCAAGTCTCGATTCGTTGGGCAGGTCACCGAGTGCACTGACGGCTAAGCCAAGCCAACCCCGTGTTCAAGACATGAGGGTTGATCAAAAGGTCCGATGAACATGCGGTGACCATTAGGCAAACCACTAAAAAAGACAACTTCCACCACTGAATGGGAAAGCTTACCCAGGGTCATTTAAGGACCGAGACTATTGATCACCCCCCACATGTTTGGGCATGTTTGGGCACTTTCGTTGAAACGGCCCCGTTGTGCTTTAGCATCAAGGGCTTCCCCAAATCGCCCAAGACGGGATCCTGGCTGCACTCTTTATTGGCATTCAATTTGTATTCTCCAGATCCTGTTGAGAACTCCAAGCTGTTTACTCTTCAGCCCCCCGTCCCAAACAGGCAGCCAGTCCCGAGCCCATTCACTACCCCAGCCCCTGGTTTTTCCAAATATGACCCTCTTCTCAGGCCTTGGTCGAAAAAACTGACCTCGGACTAGTCAACCAGTGGGATAAGGCTGGGTCTCTCTCAGATGGATTGCCCCCAAGGAACATCAGCCCGTTTTTGGTCCGGGTTGAAAATCCATTGGAGAGCAACGGCTATGATAGGAGTTGGGCCCTTAAGCCGCTGGCGAAAAATTTGAGCGGCGGCGCTCGGGAGCATGCCATGAAGCCGGCAGGCACGCCCTTTTTAGCCTTCCCGGGATCTTTCGGGGCTGTTTTCAATTGGACACCAAAGGGAAACCAACCATTTTGGAGGCTGTTCCAAACCTATGTATTGGGTTTAAGCTCTACCATCATTCGGGCCCCCGTGCTATGACGCAAATGTTTGGACGCCGGTGGCTGCAACAGAGCTGTAACAGATGCTTTAACGGACCTGTAGCTGATGCAACCAATGTGCAGCGGATGCTGTAGCGGAGCTGCAACGGATCTTTGCTCCAGCCCGAGAAGCGCTGACGCAAATTGCATAGCACATGATGGTAGATCTAAAACCAAACCTATGTAGGTCTGAATTTCAGTTGACAAATTAGTAGAACATCAAAATTCGTGGGGGGGGTGGGGGGGGGGGGAGGATTGGGTGGTTGTGTTTCCCTCTTCAACTGCCAACTGCCGAAACCGATCGAAACCGCCCGCGAAGGCCACGGAGTATCCCTTCCAGGACTATCTACAGATCTTCGGGTGGATCCTGGGCACCGCAGAGGCTCTCTGAGATTGGGCCGACGAAACCTGTCTGAGCCGTGTCCCTGGCAAAACTGTTTTGGGATCCCATTTTGGGGTAGGTGCACCACCCATTTTAGTCTATCTTAGTGGGGATTTGGATATTCACTGGGGGCACGATTTGGATTTTGACCCATGGCCAAGTGACGATCGTTGCAATGGAAACTTCGGAAACCACTGGTGAATTGCAGCTACAGGGTAGGAGGCTCGGTCTCTTCAATTCCCGGAAGTTGTTCTCTTCCCAGTTGCTGGACTTCTTAAATCGGGTTTCCGAGCCATGTCCCCTTTTTGGAACCCCTAAAGCGGCAGTTTCAGTGAAAACCACTGGTGAATTTTACTGTAAAGGGAAGTTCGAGTGACCCCTGCCTTGGGGAAGACCGTTGTAAACCCTTGAACAATGATTTGCCAACAGAGGAGAGCAAGCGAGAGTACACGAACCCCGAGGTGTCTGCTTTTTTAGGGCATGAACACTGAGTTCGCCTGCCCCCATCAAGGGGGTATCAAAGTCAAACACTTGGTTATTTCCCTGGAAAAAAAAACAGCCCTTGGATGAGTTTGATGTCGAAATCATGATACCGGTCAACCAGATGTGGTTGTAAATTGCTTCCTGATCTGCGTTAGTTGGGCAATCAACCGTATCCTGCAGACAGTCGTGGGTGTACGCGTATGGGAATTAGTGAACCTCGGAAATAAGTCAGACATAAACGGATTGCAATAATGGAGCTTGAGCATTCCACTGCTTCGGCTGGGAATGTGACAGCGGAAACCCGCAAGTGTCCAGATATTGAAGTCGGACACTTTGTCTTCATAGATGCCAACTCACAAATTGCGTCCATGACGTGGGCCCCATGGTTGGCGGGAGTTGTGGTTGTGCTGGTGTGGTATGTTGTTTGTTTGTCTGTGTTTGGGTGTTTGCGTGTTGTGTGTTCCTCTGTTTTTGTAGTTATTATTACGTATATGTTTGTTATGTGTATGTTTGTGTTTGCATTTGCTGTATGTGTTGAGTTGTTTTCGTTTTTGCCTTGGCCCTTTGTTTTTGTTGCTGTGTGTATGCTTGTTTGTGTGTGTGTGTGTTGTGTGTGTGTGTGTCTGTATCTTGTTGTGTTTTCTTGCTTCCTTCCTTGCTTGCTTGCTTGCTTGCTTGCTTGCTTGCTTGCTTGCTTGCTTGCTTGCTTGCTTGCTTGCTTGCTTGCTTGCTTGCTTGCTTGCTTGCTTGCTTGCTTGCTTGCTTGCTTGCTTGCTTGCTTGCTTGCATTCAGGATAGCGCTAGGTCAGTTCTCTCCCCTTGTCGACTGCCCTGTCGCAGCCTTCTGCGAGTTTCAAACCGCCAGGTGAAGCGTTGCGCGGGGTCAGAGGCGCTCCTGGCGCCTTTCCAGTGGCAGCTGCCGAAGCTCAGGTCGGTACGCAGGCGAGTCCGTCCGGGAGCCAACTGCAGATGGCGGAGGAACTGCAGACGGTCAAGAGTTTTTTTGTGTGTGTCCTAAAACGCGAATCGGCAGATGGTCAAGAGCCTTTTGCGTGGTGAATCGGACCCCCCCCAGAATATGGAGAGTTCCTTTTGGTTGGTTTGCCTTTGAACTCCTCAAAAGAGACACATGCGACGTACAAGCGGGGCTTGTAGCAAGGCTGCATAAGCCTTGCATGTGGAGCATGTTGGAGCAATAAGTCAGTGGGGTTCAAGCGCTCTGATGTTTCAGCCCCCAAAAAGGGAGGAAACTCGTGGAGAAAGCCAAAGGCACCCGGGGTGCCTGGGGATCGAACAGGAAGACCCGTAGATTAATGCCCCGTGCGCGGTCTGTTGCGTTCTTGCCACTTGTGTTTTCGGGGGTGAAGCCCATCAAGTGCCAGAAAAGGGCAGGCCAGGGGCCCGGGGGCGCGCAAGGCCTGGAATATGCTGCTTGTGTTACCCTTGGCTTGGATGTCCTATTCGACTACCGACCTGTTGGTAGCTTCTCAGCTTCTGCTGAGCTTGAAACCGCAACCCCGTTGTCAGGTATCTTCCCAAGAAATCAATCGTGCAACCTGCCTTGTGGAGGACGCCATTCTTCAAACGCTAGCTTTGTCAAGGGCACACCACAGACGGATGCCCGCAGAGTTGCGTGACGAGGTCAGGTGCGAAAGTATTCCAGCTTGCCCGTCTCCGCATCGGAATGGGTTCCCCGTGTTGAGAAACGCGCACGGGGTGTTTCCAGGTTGAGACAGACTCAGAGGTTGTTGGTACAGGATTGAATTTTGGAGCAGGGTTAACGGAGTTTGAAGCGTGAAGCGTTTGGCTGTGGGCAAGCCCTTTCTAAGATTTGTCATCCCTTTTTCGGAATCGATCTGTTTGCTTGCTTGGCCCGAGTGCAGCTGCCGCAGTGGTGAACATGGTCCTGGCAACGTCAGGCTGTACTTGGGCTCAGACGATGCCAACGTGTTGCAGGCGGGTGATGCGGCAACCACTCTCAGTTTGTGCGTTGTTTATTTTTTTTGCAGGCCCTTAACAAGACAGCAGGGAGACAATCATTGAAACCAAGAGATGGGGTGGGAGGCAACGGTTGCTTGGTTTAGAGTGCACTTGTCAGCTTGCTGCGTCAGGATGCTAAATTGATCCAACTGAGCCATGTTCCAAACGTGCTGTTCCACGTACACACGGACAATTCGGGCTTGTTCCCTGGTTCTTGTTGGACGTTGAGAGCTGGTCCTCCTTCACCACATTTCACCTCAGACCACCATATTTTGAAGAAGCCCTCAGTCCAGAACACCAAGGCCCAAAAGCCATGGCAACATCCGCAGGTTTCGTTTCCGGGGACCCTGGACTCAGATGTTTCAAGGGTCGGCACTCAGCGCGCCAGGAAGCCCTCTCGAGCTTCAGGCGAGCGAGTTGAGCAGATGTGCCCAGATTCTGACATGGGCGTGCCTGTGTTTTGAGGGTAGCCCTTAGAAGGGTTGGTTTTGAGGGGAAACCACAAGGACACCTTCCATTTGCTTAAGAATATGTTATCATTTCGCCCTGTTGGTTTTAAAGGGAATCTATCACCCACCACTGGACATATGTCTAGTTTTTCCAGAGGACTCCAGCAAATAGATAAAACCATCTTGAGAGATCCCCTTTGAGACAAACCCGCAAAGCCGGCCAGCAGCCCACGTTCCGATGTCGACCCGTGAGAAAGAAGGGATATGCCGGTTGATCAATATTCCGTTCGGCCCCAATGACAATGGGTAACGTGTTCCCATTTAGTGGGAAATATCGAACCCTTTTTGGTTTTCCATCCAATGATCATCCCCATGTTTATCGGACCTTTTGCTCAACCCCCATATAGGAATGAAGCACAAAGATGGAGCTTGGATTTTCTTTGGGTGTCGCTTGAAAATCAATGCACGCTGCCGGAGAAGCAAAGCGTGTGCGCAGGAACCTGATCTACATGAATGTCTCGCGGCTTTCAAAGAGGCTCGCTCAAAGCTTTGCATTGAGAGAGATGTGCTTGGCGAAGTGTGTTAAGCAAAATCTACTCTGGCGGTTTGGGGTCTCCTCCAAAATGATTTTCTATCTTAGCTTGGGCCAGAATCTGAACAAACGTGTGTTGCGTCCAGGTGTTGGCCAAGCGACTACGGCAGGGCCCAAATTGTGGTTGAACACCTTCAAAGTGCAAAACGGGCACCGGGTTCAGCGGTTCGGCGCGGCCTTGCAGGATGTCCCTGATGAAGGTGCAGAGAAGGCTGGGCCCGAAGCAGATGGTCATGGAGTCCCTGTGCGCCCGGCATGTCTGTCGCGATCCGATTCGACCGTCAAAAAGGGCCCATGATGGTTGGCCAGGATTTGGATTTGAACAGGCGTCCCTCTATTGCCCTATAAAGCCAGTTCAATCATGACTTGTTGGACCGATTTCGGTTGGTTCGCCTTTGAGGTGATGTTAAAGTGTTCAAGGGAGAGTTTTGCTGAAGCTTGGTATGCCGAAGTCTGGATTGGCCAACCCCACATTTCACCTCTCCGTTCTTGAGCGTTAGGCCGAAGACATGGACAATCAGGCGGCGAATTTGGGACAATTTTCAGTTCTCTCGCCTGCGCTGGGCTGATCTCTACAAGCAAATGCCATCTAAAGGCTGACATCTGAGGGAACCACTTGGTAGCCCTTGGAATGGACAATCCGGCACCAGTAGGCGGTTTATCCCAGTACTGAGATGGTTTCTGCCATCCGTGTATTGATGGTCGTGGATGGTTCCGAGCCAGTCTCAACCTGCAGCTCCTCATGGAGTCGGACGCCTTTGTCTGCACCTGGAGCTCCAACTGGCCTGCTTGGCATGTGAGCGGAGTTGCCGGGAAATCGGGAGAGGAAGTCGAGGATGGGTGTGCTTTTCAAGTCGGGAATCCTTGGTGAACGAACATCATCAAGGTGCCACTTTTGAGATGGTTCCCAACAAAAATCGTGGCCATATAAGGTGGGGTTTCAGGTCCCACCAACCACTTTTGAGATGGTTCCCAACAAAAATCGCATATGGGTCTGCGCCAACACAGGGATTCGTTGTTTGGATGGGAAGCCAATAGGAACCACTTGCCTGATTGGCACCAAGAGCATTTTATCTGAGTTTCGTCAAAAGAAAGGTAGTCGTTGGTCCAATTGGGAGCCGGGGGAGTGTTCTGGGCCCCGTTGTGTTGTTTGTTCTTTTTTAGGATACAAATATTGCTGGGGAGCGCCTTGAAGCGGTCGGTACAATGCAAACTGACAACCATGAGACGGGTGTATCTCACAATTGGGTTTAGGGGTTGCACTCTTGGGTATATGTTGTTTGCGTGCCTCGCGAACTGGCTCTCCCAACAATGGCCCTTTTAGGTAATTGCACACAAGAAGGTTTCTTAAAACATGTTCTCCCCCCCCATTCTGATTTTATGTAGCCCCGGCCGTAGCATGCACCAGCAATGCCTGGCTTTGCATTTTGAGGAATGGTGGCGGGGTGGTGTAAGCCCAACCTCTCAACACCCAAGCAAAAGCGGCTGCCAATCAAAACTCAGACATGGTGGACGTGGAGTGTTCAGATCCTGACGATGTGCTTTGCCTTCCCAGGAGTGGTGTATGGTTCTCACGTTGCACTGTCTCCAGATCTTTAGCTGGGCACAATGGGCATCTTAGGATGTTTGGGCAATGGGCTGAGGATGTCTTGTGGGCACATGATATCAAGCTCGCCTGGGGGCTAAGACGTAAGACGAGCTCGCGAAGGTCGTGGGTCAAACTGCCAAGTACGGCTTCCTCGAAGAATCCAACGGAATTCAACAGGCTTCCTCATGTTCTTGCCGGTGCTCCGCAGGGAATGAGGGAATGACCCTTATAAACCATTCCCTATGGCTTCCTTGAAGGGAATCCCCAGGTTCATTCCCTCATTCCCTGCCTATCGCACCAGCAAGTGTTTCCTCTGGGTCGACCAGGTGTCGCTTGGTCGACGAGATGCGCCTAACCGCCGCGACCCAGTTGGGCTTCCTGTGACCAAGGCTTTGGCCCCTTCAGAGGCGTCTCTTCCAAAACGATGTTGCAACAGTTCCGAGTAAACTACAAATGAAACAGAACAAGACAAATGTAGCTTAAATTATCGTTGTACCCTTTTTTTGGAGGGCCGAGTTGAAAACCAGACCAAAGTGGCTTGTACCTAGTGCCGGTTCTTCATTGATGTGCCGTGTGTTTCGGGGATTCGAGTTCCTGATCTTTCTGTCTTCCCAGATGAGTGGGTTTCCAACCCCCGATAAATCAACCTGGCAGATGAGCATTGGTGCCGAACCCCACTGGAACAATGGGCGACGCCCCAATCAAAACCAGGGGGTTGATGAATGAGTGAAGATTGGTGGCTAATAACTGAAGAAGGCGGTGGAAGGAATAAGATGTTGGACCACATGATCTCTTTCTTATCCTCGCCTGCTGGCTAAATCTCAAAAGTTGAGGGACAAGGTAATATGAAGAGGAGATCCTATATCCTAGATTCTGTACCATGCCATGCAATCTCTATCCTGTGTCTCATGGAGAAGCTGATTCCTCGGCTTTGTCGTTTTGCCGTTCCATGAGGATTTCATCCGAACACGGCAGTTTTTTTAACGTTTGGATTTGGCCACAGCCCCCAGCATCGTCGTTCAGAGTCAATCCCCGATTAAGTTGTCATGAATGAGCCCAGCGTTGATACAGTGGATGGACGAAATCCATTTCGGACCACCTCTGAAACCCTGGAATAATGATTCACCTGTAAATGCCGACAAACAATGGTTTCCCATGGAGCAGGATTGTGTCCACCCACAGTAGCTCCCGAGTTGACTCATGTGGGGCAGATGGAATCACTTTCCACTTCGGCGGAATGCACCTGCAACAGTCCAGCAACTTGATTTGGGGTCCGGGGTCGACGTTGCTTTGAAGGCTGCCAATTTTTTTTGGCGACACGTTGAGGTTGGGATGAAGGCCGAGCACCTCTCGCTGGAAGTGAACAAGTGGGGATCCTGGCTCTGCTCCAAGCAATTCAGCCTAGCCTAGCTGCTCCAGTTTGTTTGAGTGCGAGCCGTTCAAATTTGGGGGGTACCAACAGAAGCCGTTTGAAACCGGGGGAAATGACCACCCGGTTGCAGTCAGAAGACCAGTTTGCTCTCAAGGGGCTGCGTGTCAGGGGCGCGTTTGCGGGGATTGAAGCATGGGGAGTGGACCTTGACGGAATTTTGGGAGTGAATGCGGGGAATGAGGTTGCCCTCGTTTTAGGATGCTTTGGCTTAGGAAATCCCGGTCCATATGCGGCTTATTCTTGCTAGTTCTCAGCAGGGAATGAGGGTGAATGACCCCTTAATGGTTTCCTTTAAGGGGACTCCAAGGTTCATTGCCAACACCCTCAAGGTCATTCCCTACTAATGTTGACCTTATAAGAATCAACCTCAATTTCTGAATAGGCTGGTGTTCCGCTCCAAAAGTGGCCTGATTCCGACTAAACCCAGGGACAACCCCCTATTAATAAACTGGGGTTGATATGGGGTCAATATCAACGAGTTCCATCCTATGGGCATTGCCTCTTAAAACCATTTTGGTGGCATTTCACCTGCAACCCTCACCTCTAAAAAGGGGTTGGACACTGGGACCACTTTCGACAAACTTGGGTGGATGAATACGGGGTCGCCTGCGCACGATCCAAGGCACTGCCCTCGCTTCAACTGGGTGCACGGCGGCGGAGCTGACACCCCCGACTTCCGTTAGCCGACCACGAAAATAACAATAATTATTTATATTTATATGTTGGTTTGAGGTGAAATTTTATATATATTAAAAATTTTATATAAGTATGCATTTATATAATTGGTTTTTTATGCATTATTATTGATTTATATATATATATATAGATAGATGATTATGTGTAAAAAAAAAAAAAACGAATTTGGTGTTAATATGATTTTATTAATGCGATTTAATATTTTATAGACTTAATATATTGATATATAATTTAAGATATATAATATAATTATATAAATATATGTTTATATATAATATTTTATAAATTTAATATATACATTTAAATTTTACAATATTTATGAATTTATTATATATTTTATTTTTGGAAATTATGATAGGATACTTATTTAAAATTCTTGATAACATTTTTTTTAATTTTTTTATAGTTTTGTAAAGGTTTCGTGGAAAATAATATTATGAAAATGATTTAGATGATTTTTATTGGTCGATATTTTTTTAAAACACATATATATTTAAATGTTTGTGTATTTGATTATTGATCGAACTAATATTTATTTTCTTAATTGATTATAAGGAACCATATTAAGATATATATTGGAAATATAAATTTATATTCGATAATTTCACAAAATTGAATATTAATTAAATATATATATGCATAATATTAAAATTATAACAAATTATATTAATTTAAAGAATTTATATATATATTCGATTTAATTTTTGGATATTTTGCATATAGCTTTAAACAATTAATTTGGAATTTGTTTATGTCTTTTTCTCCTTAATTAAATTAGGAATATAAAGAAATTTAAGTAATTTAAATTATATATATTAATTTTCGATCGATATATATTTGATTAATTTGTTAAGACATATTTCTAATTATATGTTATAATAGGTATTAATTAATATATATATATTATTTGCTCATATATTATATTAATTGTTACGATCGGGATATTTATTCATATTTATAAACATATATTAAATATGAATATAGAAGAACAATCTTTATTTATTCATATTTAGATAGAATATATGTATTTTTATTTATTCAAATCTTCCGATATACCCATTATTGAGATATATATACCTATTCCTTATTAAACAAATTTAAAAAATATAAATATTAATATTATCAATTATATATATATATTAATAATATATAAACTATTCTATTATTAATATTCTATTTTTAATTATCTAATTATAATTATTATCAATATTTATAAAATTCTATTAATATATAAATATATTCATTATTTCTATAATGAAATAAATCTTTCCAATATATCATTATATCCAATTTCGGCATATATAAATCTATTAAGTCATAAAATTATATTATTTATTATAATAAGAAAATTTATATGATCAATAAAATAATCTAAACCTTATTAAAAGTACAAATTAATATATTCATTATAAATATATAAATATAATATGGTTAATAAATATATATAATCATTATATATATATATTATATTTATTAATATATAAATATATCGATTCTCGTTATACCAAATGATGTCTTATCAATCATCAACAAAACTATATTATATTATTCAATATCGAATTTCAATTTCATTCATTATTAGCATATAAATATCTATGCTTTAAATATATTATTATATTCAAATTTAAATATATATAAATAATTCTTATTAATTCATAATATAAATATATCAAAGATTTTATTATTAATATATAAAACCATATTATTAGGGCGATATAAAAGATTTTATCATCGACAAACAACAATATTCCTTATTTTATTTATGTATAATATTCTCATTATCAATATAAAAAACAATACATTTTTTTTTTTTTTTCATTAATGCATTAAAAGAATATATATATATTAACATATTCCTCATTAATAAATATATATATCCATATTAAAAAAACAACCAATATAATTATTAATATAAAAATATATTCAATATTAATTTTTTTAATAATAATTAAACATTTTAGGATTTCAGCCCAAATAAGCTCCGAAACGGCCTTAAATTAAAATTCCATAAAGATTCCATTCAGGTTTCGCCAAGATTACGAATATTCCATATCATATAATTTATGCATAAATACAATAAAATTAATCCCGAATTCTTTCTTTTTATTTTACAAATATATACCTTCGAATTTATACCGACTATTACAAATAATAAATTCATAAAACAAATAAAATATATCTAAATTAAAATTCAATAATAATTAAATTAAATTCAAGAATATCTTAAATATATCTTATACCTTATTTTCCAAATCTAAAAAATTAAAATAATTATGAATTATAATATATTTAAACCGTTTATTATAAAACTAGTTTTTTGTTTTTTTTTCATAAATATATATATCAAATAAATTATTATGTTTTTTTTGCAAAATAAACATAAATTGTGTTTTATTATATAATTAATTTATTAACCATATTTCAATTAAATGATTTGTTTATAATAAATATATTTATTTCAATATATTTATATTTTATAAAATACATTTTTTTTAAAAAAAAACAAATTATATATTTAAAACAACATTAAATAAAAATTAATTAAATCATTATATATATTAATTATTAAAATATTCAAAATAATAAAACTACAAAACCGATATATAATAAAATAATATAATATAAATCAATTGTTTCTACAATTTCCGCCCATCACTTTCATCGATTCTATAAATAAATATATTATATACAAATCAATATAAAAAAATAAAACATAATATATATATATATACACCTATATTTATGAAATTACTTATTATATCTAATAGAATCCATGTTATAGGTGTTTGCCTTCATTCTTTGTGTATGGGTAGTTTTCGCAACCTTTGTTTATCGTTTGGTGTACGTTTCAGGGGGTCAGGCTTTGTTTCAAAGTGGTGTGAGGCGTGACTTAGGGAAATGGATCAGTTGAGGCATGGCTCCGGGTGTTTAGCCAGGTCAGGCCAGGGTCGGAAGGGTTGGCTGAGCCACCAGATTAGGATCTTAGTCCACCTGTTTGTGGTTGGGGCTATTGGAAGCCTTACCCGAGTTCTGATTGCTCCGCGAATCGATTCCCAGAGCCACCGGTGCGCGCACTCCACTTTGTGAGTGGCTAGGACCAGTGCCACTCCTGTGCAGGAGCGTCCTTGCACTCAGACACCTAAGGCGTGGCAAATGGGTGACTTGCCTCAAAATGACGTGGTCTCGGCAAAAATTGAAGTTCATGTGTTGCCAAAAGCTCGCCTCTTTCAACACATTTTGCCGAGTTACCCCAGTGAAAGTTCGTGGGTTGAGAACCTAAGTGGGCAGCTTTTCTGCAATCCCTCCCCCTAATAAGAACCCTAAATCTCAATCTTAGCAAATATTCGCTGGGGGCCAAACAATACTTATGAATAGGGCAATTAGGGGTCAGTTGGGCTGCTCCCCGAGAAGCACCTTGAAAAGCAGGGCCCTTGCAAAGATCCAGAGCCACCAACCGCTCGCGCAACAGATAGAAATGACATATCCGAAGGTCTAGGTCGGTCAAAGGTGACTGACAAAGGTTGCCCACAAACTGGACCCTGGCTCAATATGTTGGCTTCTCATGGGCCAGTTCCTGTGCTAGAAGCCTTCGAGCCGTTTGGAAACTCCCGCATGCCCGTCACAAGGCCCTTGCCACCAGGGAGAATGGACCTCAGGCGTGTAGCGCAAGAAAGTTTCAAAATAGGGGTCCCTGAAAGAATCTAGCGACACCCTTATGAAATTGCAGGTCATCTGTTGGTCTCCATTCCAAGGGTCACAAAATCTCGCTGCTGTAAGCACCCGGAACACTTTCTGATAGCTGCCTCCTGCTGTGGCACGCTTTTCGATGGCTTCCCATGCACAAAAAACAAGGGAGGCCTTCCTCTCAAACCCGCTTGGCACTTGTCTTCCGCCTTGTGCTACTTTTGCCTCCCCAATTTTGGCCTCTTTTAGTTTTCCGCGCTCTCCGCGCTCTCACCCAGTCTTTCAAATGGCTGGGAAACCATGTCTCCATTTCTGTCATACAAGCCGTCTCCAAAAAAAAATTGGCCGTTCGCTTCCCCGAAGGCCGAAGTGGGCTCCATCACTCAACCCCAGTGCCTTTGAATTTTTCAGAGCCGGGCTGCCAAGCAAAAACTTTTAGTGGAAACCCTGAAGAACCGAAAACTTAAGGGAACAGCAAAGCCGCTTGCACACCTTTAGTGTTGCCATTGATCCCAACCCTGAAGGAACTTCCCGCCAGTTCAGCTTTTGTCTAACTGCCCGCTTTGGAGGTGGGGAGGCTGGGTTTCGGGTGCAAACCCCTCCACAAGAACCATGCAAATCCCAAAAACAACCCTCACTTGCCCAAAGCACCTGGAAATAAAAGGTTGACCTCTACAAAAAATGGGAACCCAAAAAAGGAACACCAAAAGGTCGATTCGCTTCGAAGAACTGAGAATCCAAAGCGCCCGGAGTTGCGTTGCTTGGCCCGCGGCTTTTCTCGCTGGGCGTATCGGTCACCTCCATGCACTCCCCAGTGCGACTCCTGAGGGATAAGGCAGGGCTCACACGACCGAATTCACCCCAAATGGTCGTTTAGGGGAATATCCCTCCAACCACGGTTAACCCCGGATTAATGCACCCCTGGTTGATTTTGATCGGGGGTGTCGGGATTCAGACCACTTTTGGAGGGAACACACCGCTAAGAATGGGACAGGTTTATTAATCATCCTGGGTCAACATTAAGGGGTGCTTGGGAATTGGAACCTCACCCCAGTCAACCCAAACTTGGCCGTAGCCGGCTTCAGCCTTCACCTACAGGGGCGCTTAAGCTTTCAGCTGACCTGCCCCCCTGCAGTGAATCTTCCCCTGCACCCGGTCAACTTCAGATGAACACCCTCCATTTGCTGTTTTGTTTTCGTCCCCGGGGCAGGTTGAGAACATATGTCCAGTAGGGATGGAATCCCTTGAAAAACACAAAAGGGGAAACACATCTTCAGCAAATGGAAACAAGCAAGAAAACAGAGGCCAGCAA